TTCAAATGCTGCTCCTGGTGGGTGTCAACCTCAGATTTCATTTGCATAGTGAAGTGCGAACGGAGGAGCCGAGAGAGAGAGAGAGAGAGAGACCGACACTTGCCCCCAAAGCCCCACAACAAGTGGGGGGCCACAAGGCCAAGGGACTTTACTCGTCCCCTATGCCCAATGAAAGAAAGAGAGAGAGAGAGAGAGAGAGAGAGAGCATCCATACTTTCTTCTACCCCTACAAAGCCCCGAAACAGGGGTGCGCCTCACGGCGCGGGGTGCCTGACTCGCACCCTACGCCCCGGAGAATAGAATAGAATAGAAGAGAGAGAGAGAGAGAGAGAGAGAGCGGGGTGCCCTCTGGGCTCTGTCTAGCCGAGCCTGCTTGGGCCAAGCTCCAGTGGGGGCCGTTGAAAACCTGTGACCCGCAGGTGCGCGCTCGCGCGCGAGGGTTCGGGCGTCCGCTCGTTCCCTCTGTCCTGGTAGGGAGAGAGAGAGAGAGAGAGAGAGAGAGAGAGAGAGAGAGAGCGAGAGAGAAAGAAAGCCGGCGTCTCGCGTGAGTTAGAAGGCCTCTTGTAAGCCCGAAACCTCGACCCAGAAACGCCGCCCAAAGTTTCACAAAGCCACGTACAGCCTTCTGACCGGGGACAACGCGCAAAAAGGGGGGACAACTAACTTTGTACTTACTCTAGACCCTGCTCAGTGTGTATGCTTCTGAAAGGTCCCCCCTTAACGATGCCCAGGCCCGAGCCATCGGGCATGCTGTTGCTCGTTCTAGCATGGTGCAACTGTTGCCCTAGAGGGCCTCCACACACTCCTCCCATGCATGGGGGCTGTACCAGTGTTTTGTAAGAGGATGGGCAGGAAGAAGGGGTACTCGAAACGATGACTCTTTGCCTCTTTGGGACCACGACGACAACGGCAACAGCGCAAAAGATTAGCAAAGCAACACAGTAATAGAGCAACAGAGCAACACCGCAACACGGCAGCACAACAACGGCAACAGCAACAGCAGCAGCAACGCACAAACAATTACACAACAACAGCACAACAAAAGTAAGAATAACAGGAACGAGTATAGAACATCAGCAACAGCGACAACAACAACAACAACAACAACAGCAACAGCAACAGCAACAGCAACAGCGACGACAATAACAGCAGCAACAACAACAGCACCAACAAGAATCGAAACAATCAGCTCAACGCGACCGACACATACCACCACCAACGGTCGGGGGACAGGTACCCAAACAAGTGGAACTGCAAGCAACCACGGCAGCATCAAAACCAAAGGCACCTCCTCCAAACTCTCCGAATCGATCGTGCCAGCAGCGACGAAAGCCCCTGCACCACAGTGAGGCGATGCAACGCCTCCCCCAGCACACAAGCAGGACAAGGAGGTAGCTGCAAAAAGACATTGGCGGGAGCACATCAGGGAGTTGCAGCGGCCGTGGACGAAACACCTGCTCCACGAGCATTCGCACGCAGCTTGGAAAGGAGCAGAGTCGGCATCTGTCCGTGAAAAAATAACGGCTCAGAGCACCAGAGTGCGAAGTTAGCAGGAAGCTGGTGGGTCGAAATGGGAGGAGTGGAGACCTGATAACAGACATTGTAGACCGAAGCACGAAAATGCATGTTTCAGGAAGTTAAAGAAGCTATACAATCCCAGCAAGATTGAACGAGAAAGGATGCAAGGTCTCCACCAAATCCTACCAAAACAGAACACACCGTCTTCAAGGCCGAAGTGGCAGAGTGTAGACTACATTGACCCTAGAGAGAGAAACTGTCCGATAGATGTATTGAAAACCCAGAGGACGAGATGCATTTCATACCCTGCTTCGAGGTCAGACTTGGCGCACGCAAGCGGCCTGACAGCTCCTGAGATTTCCGGAAGTGTTGTGCGAGTACCTTCTAATCCATTTGGCCACTGCTCTCCTGCCACGTGTGCACGCAACTTGCCGGGTGACATTTTAATTTTATGGTGTGACAGGCCCGGCGCAAATCCCTTACTGCGGAGGGCACACGAGCTTGCGTCAGGCAGGTCAACCCTGGCAATTCTGCTACAATGTGCTACAGCATGTGGCAGCAAAGAAGTTACAACACCTAACGCACTTTGTTGGAGTGTTCTGCTGTAACTGTAGGAGTTTCCAACTCGACTCGAAGATTCGTATGCCGAGTATGATGTATGCGTGTCTTGCTGTTGTAGTTCGAGGACAATGCACCATGCAGGATGTGTGCTACTTTCGGCTCTGTTGACTCTATTGCTCTACACTGCATCTTGCCATCCCTTGCAAGTTCCGTGCTTTGCTGGGTCTTGCGTAGGGTGGTCGCGCTAGGTATCACATCTCCACATAGCAAGTCCTGTTCTGCGCGGCTTCGTATTGGCGCCGCGCTATGCTAGAATCTGTTGATAGTCTGCCGAGGTAGTGCATGGTGTGTGACGGTACTGCAAGGTGCGCACGGTTCGAGTCACACACTTCTGTGCCCTCCTGTCCGCACAGCCGGGTGGGGGAGGCTTATGATGCGTAACTTCGATTGCAGGCGCTCGCTTGAACATACTTTCGTGCTGTGGCCTTCCATCTGACGTAGTGCATGGTGATGGGCAATGTCGAATCCAAAACAATGCGAAAAAGTTCAGCGTCTGCCGTCATGTGTCGGTGTCGTCCAAAAGCAGAACAGGCGCATAACTACCGTGCAATGCAAAGTAAAGCCGCAATGCGATGTAGTTGATGAGTAGTTGATGCATGTACTGATTATTAATGTAGCGAAAACCCAGCAAGAAAACAACTGTAATGATATTCTTTCAGCATGGAAAACTGTACTGTGCCATGTCATGGAAAGGCAGGGTCACCCGATTCAGGGCCGTGCGGTGGAATGAAACGGAAAACACTATCCTGCAATGGAGCGCACAGCAACGGAATGCATTGGAATACTGTGTATTAAACGCAAGGTGGTGCAACGAAGTCTGTGATGATGAGTCATCCCTTTGGACCTTATGTGCTGCAGCTGGACGAATCCGAGCACGATGTCATGCAATGCCGTGCACGTATCGCGCAACGCAGTGCAATGCATCGTGCGATATGGTGCAAGGTCACGGAATGCAACAGTTTTGGAATGGTCTGAAGTACTAGTAAGAGGTTCACTCCTTGCGTGCTGCCCCGACCGGGGCCTCATTTGTGCCCCTGTCCTGTTGGACCATGCCTCGGGCTTTAAATAAAACGACCCAGCCCCCCTTCCCCATAAGTCCAAGGCCAAAGCCGTTTTTCGTAAGGCATCACGGGCCCTAACCCCAAACCGTTGCCGGTCTCGTTCTGTTGCCAGCTGCTATTGCTGCTCCTACTGGGACGAGTCGTCTGCAACATTCCATGCCACGTTCCATCGTATTCATCCGTGTTCTGTCGATCCATGTTATCCTGTTGCATGCTTTGTCAAGTCATGCTGTGGAGCTGTTGCGATTAGCATGAGCATGATGTGATGGCGAGATACGTTTGGAACTGGCGTCTACGTGAAGAACACGCTGCCAAGCTGCAAAGTGCATGCGCATGCCAGCTTTGGCATCAAGTTTGTCCGACATTGGGCATGATGTGTCCAGGGAGGAGCGATCAAAGACTGCCTTTTTGAATCTCGCAGTGCATGCACCATGGATCCAGGGCAGCTGCGAAACGTTTGTTTTGAGGTTCATCGACCTCGCTTGCGAGGACATGTCGCTGTCTCTACCGATCACCAACCTCGCATTGACATGCATCAACTGCAGAGTGCAGCGTGCAAAGCAGACCCCCCGTAAGCCTTGGACTGGGTTTGGAGGAAGAGCCAGTTGCATCGCTGCGGGCAGTGCATACGGCGGCGGGTCGTTTGGACATGATGTGGCGTGATGACGAGGACCTGTAAAGCTTCCAGCATCTTGCACAACTGCGACCCTTGCTTGATCACTTCGCTGCAGGAGCGTGCAGACTGAAAGCCTGCTCGAGCACTCAGTCCGGTCCGGCGAAAAATTGTCCCGCTTTGTTGGATGTGGCAGCTTCTCATCTTCTCGAAGCCAAAAGAAGGGATATCAGCGCGACTGTTACGGCTTCGATTGGTATGTGTGCTGCCTCAGTACGCAATCCGCGGCGAGCGGAGATGCTGTATGGAGAGATGTTCTAAGTCTACACGCATTAGAGCAGTAAGCAGCAACATACTCGACGTACTCTGATGACTCCTCATACGTCACAGCACCCTGAGCTTGGCGGGCTTGTGACAGAAGCTGCCCCGGCGTGCTCGGAGCAAAAAGCCACCGCCCAACGACTGATGGAATAGTGGGTAGATGCGGGTAGTGTCTGTTTGGTGCTCGTGTGGCCTGGTGCTCTGGAGATCGAAAGTCGATCTATCAGTTTTTCAGCTGGGCTCAGTGAAGGAGTCGCATCCTTGCCTGCTCCGAGACAAGAGGTTTCAGCATAGCTGCGTAGCAGTTCAGTATCGGAGCGTCCGCATCGGACAGGCGTCTGTGGCCAACGCACGACCTCACCGACCCGAGTGGCATTTTGAAGACACGGTGTGGAATTCACTGCCTGCCCAAAGTTCATGTGTTTTGCAGCTTGACGTCTCTGAAACAAAGGCATCTTCGGACTTTGGGCTTGTCACTATCTGCGAGTGGAAGTGACAATCGCACGTGGCATTGGCCATGGTATGCCTTCACAAGATAAGACGGCCGTTCCGGTCGCGCTGGCTGGGAAGGCAGAAACAGTTTCACCAGAAACACCAGTTTAGGGTGTTCTCTTGCACATCAGTGAGGAGCCCTGATGCAGACAGTGAGGAGCCATGAACCCGTTTTGTTGCCGCGGGTAGTTGTGACACATCGGCCAGTGATTTCTTTGTAGCTTCTTAAGGCAGTCATTCGCCCTCGGTTGCCTCGGCTTGCGCTGTCTGTTCGTGGTGTCGCGCGAGTTCAGCAAGATGCAAAATGTCAGTGCTTGCTCTCTTTTCAAGGGTGAGGTGAATCTCTCAGAGGAAGCTGTCCCACGTCTTGGAAGGTCCTATGCTCCGGGTACCTCAACGTTGAGCGCAAGGGCCAGGTGGCAGCAGAGTTTAGTGTTTCTACAGCCTTCAACGCCCATAGCCGCCCAAGCTGGAGGTCAAAACACCATTTTTCGTTCTGCGAGAAAACAGTCTTTCCCTCAAGGCTTCGCGTCGTGTGCGTGGCATGCGGCGTACTTGCCCTTGTAACTGAGGCCTTGAACGCTATGACACGGCCACCGACTTTGAGAAGGGGCAGGACGTGAAGCACAGAGATACTGGCGGCTTCCGACATAGGCAGGGGCACACGCCAACAATACGACGACGAGAAACATTCTGCAGACTAGTTGGTACTGCACGACCCCGTCTATGCATGCCTCCACGACCCCAGAAACAAGTTTTTGTTCTCGGGTCCGAAACGCTTGGGCGGAGTCGTCGCTGGGCTTACTAGCTGGTTGCCAGCCGTGGCAGCAAATCGAGTTCGTGCATGTCCATATTGTGCGAGCACGAGATTACCCGAGTGCCATGCCAGCTCAATGTGTCTGTCTGCAGTACCTTCCACAATGCTTGCAGTAGTGTACAAAATCCATCACTCGAGACTCGAGATTTCTCATGTCGAAACTACAGGAAAGTGAAAGCTCAAGCAAAGCGGATTTGACAAATCAGTGGCACTTGTCTGCCCAAAAACCGACAATGCACGACTCGTCAACGAATTCGTTGTTCTCGAAATGAGTAGTTCTAGCTCACCAAGCAACTTCGTACCGACTTCAGCCTTTCAAATGGACATGCTTGAACCATCATGCCTGCAAGACATAATTGTGGCTACGCTTAGTTCAAGAGGCCTTTCGTCTATATCGAGACGAGAAGGCGTTGTTCGCACAATGCATAAACACAGCATAGATGTTCCATGTCTACAAGGAAGCAAAATCAACAGTAATTCAAAAGAGACCCATGATGGATACACCATGTACTGATCCTCAGGCATTTCCGATTAAGAACGAAATAAGGCTGAGTCTGTCAAGTGCGCAAGCCGTAGGTATTGTGATATTGAAAAGGATGGCAAGATACGTCAGAGACATTCAGAAGAGAAGCCCCATGCTTCGCAGAATATTATCATGAGCTTCTGGAAACTCTTAGTGCGAAGTACAAATACTCACCCAAAATTGTTCTTGGAACTTTAATGCAAGGGTGATAAGAGCTTTACCATTTGAGCTGGCAGCGGGGTGCTACTGGCCCACACACACTCGGTGCATGGGATGTTTCACTAGCAAGTCACTAGCAAGTCTCAGTGAGGCGCAGTTTCAAAATCGGTTGAACTTTATTGAGTTTTGTCTCACAAACGATGTAAGTGTCTAAGCGCAGGCACGAATTACCTTTGACCAGAAGTCGGAAGAACAGTCAGTTACATAACAAGTTGGAGGAAACTTGGAAGGCCCCGTGGCAATTGCACAAATATGCGCAGATGGACCACATGACTACATACTTATAAATCACGAAAGGAAAACGTGATCACGAATGTGTCCCCAACCTATGTGCATACAACGGAAGCAGATCATAAGCTCATGATGGCTACGGTTATATTCAAGTAAAAGGCTCATGATACAACACTGAATGCTCAATTTCGAACCCATACCACAAGAACTAGCCGCTTTCCAATGACCGGATTAGACATCTTGCGAGCTCCGCAGACAAACTCCACAACCCTGAGACTAGTGTTATGGAACAAGCGAAATTAGCAGGATAAGTTGCGCAGTTTGCCTAAGAAACATCCCGAATGGAAAAGATCCTATATATCCTTACACGAACATGAACGGTGCTTGAGTGTAAATGGAGGCAGCTGAGAATGGAGATGACGATACAGCAAACCAACTCAGTCAAGAAGTCAATCACTTAAGAAAGACAAGGGGATGCATTTCTACAGGAGTTGGAAGAGAGTAGAAACCAAGATTGTAAATGGGATGGACAGCTGTATGTACTCCAAATTTCATGAAGTTTAAAGACATCAGCCGTAAACATGTCCAATACAAACAACGCGCACATAAAGCTGCCGAGTGTTTGGTATTGGTCCAGTGGAATCGCAGAAGACAATCAGCACCACAGGCCGGATCGTGAGATGACAGGATGGCAGGTTCATGATTGATGATTTAGATGTCACACTAGTGGAGTTGGACTACGTACTTTGCTGAGTCAAGAGGAACAAAATGGCAGGCAATGACGGTATCCCTAAGGGTAGTATACGAATGGTTGGATGATGATGACAAGAAACATCTACTTCACGCAGCGACTGTATGTCTCGGACAAGGTAATATGGATCCAATTCATCTAAATGCGGTGGTTGTCTCAATCTACAAGAAGGGGATGCTTCAAAGCTATAAACTACAGACCAATATCATCTTTGACGGCGTGCTACAAAACTGTTGCAGCCTTGTGAAAATTGTGTCTTGATAAGCGCCTAGACGAATGGCTCATGGCAACTCAATATGGGTTCAGAAAGAGCAATAGCTAGCACAAGTCAAGCAATGTTTGCAGCAAGAAGATTGCCAAATGTTTCAGAAAAAGTCAGGAAATACCTTGGTACTTTTGGATTGGTAGAAAGCCTTTGACAAATGACTAATGGGACGGTTGAAAGTGCCCCTTGGAATGTATAACTTGACAAGAAGCTTTTATTCGAACCCTCAATTCAAACTGACATGCGGGGGAGGTAGAATCGGAATGACATACTCAGCAGACAGGGACTCGTCGAGGATGTCCTCTATCTCCATACTTATTTGCCTTAGTGATGGGAGCACTCTTTATAAACATAAAAGCCGAGTTGTGCACAAGAAGACAAAGGAACCCATGAATACATGGAACAGGCAATGATGGAATGACTTTCTCCGAGGTCTTATACACGGATGGCACCCTCGTGTTGGGGGCCAACACTCAGTGCCTAAATCGGTTGTTGCATACTATCGAAGGCATTCAGAATATTTCTGACCCAAACTTAACTACGACAAATATGTTAGGCCCACTGTTAATCAGTGCGTCACGTCAGTTCGAATTGCTCCAGAAGGACCAGCTGCAGGGAGACAGATTCCGCAACAAAAAACGGCTACATATCTAGGGAGTCTAGGGACTGTTCTGTTGGACACATTTGGTAACAAAGGCGTGGTTGCAAATAGACTTGGCGACCTCATCGGGACATGCAAACCGCTGGTTTGTAATAAAGCAATCACTTCCTTGAAACGGGAAATCCGAGTATTCAAATCAATATGCAGCTAGCCTCTATACAGTTTGACATCAGTTTAGAAGGTGTCATACAATGAACAACATCAGAGATGTCCAAACTTAGTTTTTCCAACACAAAATGCTTCGCAAGATTCTTGACAAGCCATCAACATTCGTAGACAGAGAAGAGACTAAATCAACAAAGGCATGAAGGAATCCAGTGCGATCATCATTGCAAGTTCGACGGAGACACATGGGAAAGAGCCACATTGAGGCTTTCTGGCCAAATCCTTAGGTCCAGTCCGGCAGATCCACCAAATCAACTGGTATCTGCACCTGGTAAGCTCATGCCCCCGCCTGTAATCAAAAGAAGAGTTGTCAGACCCCGAAGCGATTGGTTTACTGAAGCTTACAGTGGCGCGATGATGGCGTGTATCAGTTCTTGTATGGGCTCCATGCAGTCGCAATGCAGTCTTCGACGGAAAACAACAATCATGTACAGGATATTATGAATGCAGTTGTACAGAGGCTACCTCCGTTTGCACAAAAGTTGGCTTTTGCCAAAAGGCTTTGTGCCTTCTCCAAGTACTGCTCTCAGAAATATCGCTTCAGATTGATGTTGGCGCCGTTGCTCCATTTTAAGATCCGATCTCCTGCCTATCGTATATAGTTCTCATATTTGATGAGAATCACAGAAGTGAGTTGGTCAGGAGCCCAGTCATGCTCAGCAGAAAATGCTTCGTCGAACGCAGCCTTTGTTCTTTTGCCGCAAAGTCGGCACCAGCAGAGTAATTGTCCCCAGACAAACGGATTCAGTTGTCGTTTCAGCTTGACCATTGGCTTTTTTTCGTGCTTGCCCCCGTTCGGTGGCGTTCGAGCAGTCCGGTCTTAGACACATTCCTCTTGAAGATGTTCCGTCTTGGTAGTAGAGGGAATCCGGACCAAACAGCATTTCTTCCGTGACAAAGTCACACGCTAACTTCGGCTCAAGTTGCTCGGAGTAAAACGGGGTTTGCGCGCGGCAATGACACGACCTTTTGGTTATCAGCCGTCTCTGCTTGATCTCGGCAGTCAAATCGTCTGCAGTGGATAGTTTGGGTAGAACGAGCCGAAGACAACATGGCTACAACGCTTAATTGTGTGTCTGCTTATTGTCAAGAGCGGCAGCCGTGAAACACATTCAGACGTTCAAATGATGAATGATAACAACAAGAATAGCTTCGCTGAGCAGTGGCTGATCGCATGTGCTGAGGAACCATACAAATCTACGTGCCAGGTGATTATACAGACAGAAAAAGATTGGGTCATTGCACCACGCAAACCGCGGTTTTACTTCGGGCAACTTGTGCCAAAGTTAGTGAGTGAAACAAATCGGAAGTTTGCTGGGAAACCTGCGGGCACGTGTACTTCTTACGAGCCTGTAGTCTTGTGCTGCCCAAAACCCAATTGCATCGTGGTGACTTGACAGCTGCGTGACAGCAAATTAGTCGGCCATGTCACATGTTGCCACCCTTCGCGACGCTCTAAACCGATCCTGAGATATCCTGAGCATGCTGGCGTGTAAGGATTTGCAGAAGCCCTGGTTCATCTGCTGCTTTTGCCACAAACTTAGAGAAGGTTCATGAATTGCAGGAGCCACGAACCATGCCGTTGGCAGACATTGAGAAGGTCACAGCCTGGCACCTCAGAAGACGATGCCTTTGGGCAGTCGCTGCTTGTCTTTTTGCACTCTGAAGGTGAAAGAGCTCCGCCTCACGCTGGAAGTGAGGCAAGCAGACGTATCTGGAAGTTCGTAATCCGGCTTTTGAACCATTTGTGCCAGCCGTAGATTTTTGTTACGTGCTGAAGTGTATGCTGGGCAGCCAAAGTTGTCGAGCATTCACAACTTGTTAGATCCCAGATCAAACATGGGTGCCACCGCTTCTCGTTTTGCAACCGTGGGTTAAGTTACAGTCGCGTGTCATGATGCTGTTGTGCCTCTTGTTGTTTGATGAGCTATTGATGTTGCCTAGGGTTTCAGAGTTGAACAGGAAAGTTGCCAATCGAAGTTGCTTGCCAGGCTGCAGGTTGTTTAACTCTCAGATGTTTTAGAAGTGATTGCCCGGCCAGGGACCAGAAGAAGCCGGTCGAGTTCCAGGTAGACAGTGCCAAGGCCAGTCCGCTCGTCGGAAAAGCTATTGCCATCGACCCTAGGTGGTGACAGCGAGCTTAGTCGGCAGCATTTTGGCAACTAGTTTAAGGTGCTGCCTCAAGTCTCTTCGATGTTTTGGGTGTGACGGACGTAAGTTGGACGGCCAACGAACAAGATTCCCTGCGAGCAGCTAGTAAGTTCAGCGAAGCTGGGAGCATGAAGTAAAAAGCCCAAGGGTTAGCGAATTGCCAAAGGCTGGTGATGGATTGTAGGGAGATGGTACGGCCAGCGAACTTTTTTCCCTTGGGAAGGACGCTTAGCGGTGCTGCTACAGCTACAGCTCCAGCTCCTGCTATTGCTCCTGCTCCTGCTCCTGCTGCTGCTGCGGCCGCTGCCGCGGCGCTTGCGACTGCTACACATGCTCCTGCTACTGCCAGTGCTCGCGCTCCTGCTTCTGCTCCTGCTACTGCTACCGCTACTGCTACTGCTACTGCTAGTGCTGTTGCTGCTGCTGCTGCTACTACTACCAGGACATATGTCGACGAGTACCGCCATTGTCAATGCTGCTACGAAAGAGGCCTGCTCCGCTCCTACGATTACTGATGCTGCTACCGCCCGTGCCACCGCTACTGCCAGTGCCACTGCCATTGCCACTGCCACTGCCACTTTCACTGCCACTGCCACTTCTTCTGCTACTGTTACCGCTGTTGCTGCTACTGCGGCTACTGCTGCATTTCCCTGTTGCAGTTTCTCCTATTCAGTCGTTACAGTTGCTCCTGTTGTTGTGGTGGTGGTGACGGTGGTGGTGGTGGTGGTGGCCACTCTGAACTTCCAGGTTTACCTTTGCTCAAAACTATTCTTGCGTGGCCTACTCTTTCGAAGCTCACGCGTGCAGCTCCGGGCTGCGTAACGGGCTTTTCCGTTTTCTTAGAGTTCGTGCTGCAGTTCCTGCGGCGGCAAACAGTCAGGGAACCTAACTCGCGGTGTCGGGCGCGGATGCGCTCTGCCTTGCCCGACCCTGTGGTTCATGCTGTTGGATATCGCAGGTTCAATATCAGTTAGTGCCCTGATAGTGATGATGGTGGGGATCGGTCGCTGTCGTTGTGGACGAGCTCGTAATCGAACTCGCACTCGTAGTCGAACCAGGAGCAGCAGCAGTTGGGGAAAGGGTTTGGTTATTGCCGGACCAAGAGCATCCATGGACTTTGGCATCGGGATGTTTTTTCGCATTATCTGCGATTGAAACCGTAGTGCGCGAGAGTTCGCGAAGAAGGCAGTAGCACTATGCCGCGTGAGGGTGCCCGGCCAGCAGCGAGGAAGCGAGAGCCGTGCAAGGGGTCAATGCTGGCACACTCTTCAATTGTATGACAGCCAAGTTAGCGAAGTAGTGGATGTTCAACTTATGCCTGTGGGCCAGTGGGTGGTGGTAGTGCTGGTGGTGGTGATGGTGGTGGTGGTGGTGCTGGTGGTGGTGCTGGTTGTGGCGGTGGCTGTGATTGTGTTTGTGGTCGTGGTGTTGTTGTGATTGTGGTTATGTTTTTGTGCTGGTGGTGGCTGTGGTCGCGGTCACGGTCACGGTCGGGGTTGCTGTCATGGTGGTGGTTGTTGTTGTTGGTGGTGGTCGTCGTCGTATTTCCACAAATCGTCGGCTATTGGATTTGAGACTTATCACCGTCCGGGATGCTCGTGGCTTCAGGTTAAGTCGGAAGGTTTTCGTTATGAATAGTTTTTGTTGGACCTGCTGTCTCTCTAGCCCAAGTCGTGTCTGGCAGCTCTGTCGGTGAAACTTCTCATCTCCTCGTGGGACGAACCAGTGCACTTCAAGGTCGCTTTCGGAGACGTTTGGACTAGTTGCCGACGGATGTGCAATGTGCGAGCATGAAAAGTGCAGTGCATCACAGGAGTTTGTGCAGTGGGGTCGCGCTTTGGAAAAGTTGCTCGCGCAGCGTTTGGGAGATGCTTACCGGCAACTTGAGAAGGCCCTGTTGGTAGCTGTTTGTTGCCGTCGGTGTTACGGAAAATGCTGCCTGGTGGTTCCGACATCCTACCAAGGAAAACTTCGTGTCAAGTGCAGAAGGCCGTGGCCTATGTTTGTTCGCGGATGCTCACATCTTGGGGGCTCGTGCAGCTGCAGGCCTGCCTGGCCGTGGTGTGCCATCAGACGGAGGACATGCAAGTGCCAGCGTCAGTGGCACGGAGCTGAGATGCGTTCAATCATCGCAAGCATGTGGGAATCTGCGAAGCAAAAGGTGGGAGGCCAGATACGAAGTATTGAAGTGTTGCAAGTCCAACCCAAATTTTACTCCAATGTCAAGCTCGCTTAGCTGGAACATCCTGGACGATCCCGACCGGTGTTTCGGGCTTGCGGGCTGGCGGGCTTGCGGCACGTAGGCGAGCAGAGCTGCTTGAGCTGGACAGCTCGGCTTCATGTAAACGGGCTTGCACGATGAGGGAGGGTCTAGCAGCAAAGACTGGGTCATCTTCTGTATATGCGGAGCTGCAGCATTCGATCTGGTCGTGGTGAGCGGTAGCCCAGGCGGGACTACGCCACGTGAGGCGAATCCGGCTGATTGTACTGGCCGGGGTTTCATTGGCGAGTCCCCACCTTTGACATGAATGCTTGCCAGGCACCAAAGGTATTGTGCGTCGTCCCCAGTAGCTCCATTTTACAGTGCTGAGGTGGAACTTGTGCAGGGAGCTCATGAGTTCCAGCCGAGGCGAAGGCGAACTCCTTATTCTCAAACGAAACAGAGAAGATCCAAGGCCTAGGGACAAGCAATGTCAGATGTATCCACATGTTGGAAACTGGCCATAGATTTGGGTAGCCTGCCGGCCTGGTTGTGCGCCGGCACTCCACCCATCAACCCATGTTACCGTGAATCCATAGATTCACCTTCCTTGGGTCGCTCGCTTGCGTTGACTTCGCTTGGCATCATCCTTCGTGTGTGCGTTTTTGTGACGATTCTTCAAATTTGAAGGTAAGATGACATCGGCTCAGTTCAGTGAGATAGGTTTTTTTTGGCAAATGCATGTACATGCAATACATTCCTAGCGGCAGTCTCAGGTGCTCCCGTGATGTACAGTTTTTGCATCTGCTGCGGAAGGTCAGAAATATCAATTGAAGGCGACGCGATGTTTCCCTATTCCTCCGTGTGCGTGTGCAGACCAAATTCTCTACTCGCTGGGGTGCGACATCGATGCCAAATCTAAGAAGCCAGGGCTTACGGACAACGCGTTCAGGAAACCACTGTGAGATGGCGAGATATGCAGACTCTGCGCATTTGTGTTGAGATCTTTAAGATAAGATGTCGTCTGTGTATCGGCACACTGCCTGTTTCTTCCTGGCAGGTATTGCGTATTGCGCACAGACTGCTTCGAGTGACCTGGCATGATTGCATGACTTCTAGACTTTAGATTCTTGCTTCGTGCCTGCAGGTATTTCAGCAGCAAGGAGGATTACCAAACAGGCAAGTCAAGATTAGTGAACTTCCCCGAACAGTCTGCAAGATTGTGGGCTTCCTAATTAAGTGCGCACCCATCAGTAGCACCCGACGGGATCGCCGCTCCCACTGTGGCGCTATGCACGTTCTTCATGATCGTCGCGTTCTTTACAGTCCCGTGCCGCCTCTTCTGCGGAGTGGGTTCCTGAATTGGGCGAAATCTCAGTGCCACGCGTTTGTTGGTGTGCGCATCGTCTTCGCGCCACAGCCTCTCGCATTTCAGCCCTCCGGAATCGTGCTCCTGCCAATGCGCCATGTAATTTCAGAGCGACTCGTGCTTCCGCCTCCACACCTATTTTGGGTTGCTTCTCGCGTTCCTGTCACAGTGTGTGATGCGTGGTCTTGCAATCGTGCTGCCCCCCCCCCCCCCCCCCCCGTCCGGAGCGAGTTTTGGACAATTGGAGCTACAAGGGGTGCAACTCTAAGGATGCCTAACGGTGCTTGGGTCTGCGGGCTTGGACTGCCACTTTCATTGTTTGAGGTCTAGGCCGGCATAATTCATTTCTGATTTCTCCATTCAGCACGTCTGCTCACTGCCGTTTCAGATTCTCGCAGGCGTTGCGGCACGAGCGCGGGCGCTTATCGAAGACATCACCGCATTTGAGGCAGGAAGGGTGGGACAGTCTGGCGACTCTTCCATGCTAAGTCGTGTTTCCACTCGTTCCCCAAGCCAATCAGAGAAAGGACAGAGACTGTAGTTGTCCTTCGTGCGTTTCTGATGAATTTCAAGGTCCTGGATGACGGCACGATGGAAGCGTTACTCTCAGCTCCGTCCGTCCACACAGTTTCACTTCGTGCTGTGGTTCTCAACGCGTCTCGCTTCAGTCTCGGTGGCTTGGTAGACGGCGAGAATAATTGCATCATGACGCACGCATCGATTTTAGCGGTCTGGCAAAGTGTCCCCTCGGGTGCAACAGAACATGTTCGACCGAAGCTCTACTTGCCCCGACGCCTAAACTCCTTCGCCGCCTCGTGGGTGGCTTCGGCTCCGATTAATGGGTTGGCACAAACCCCCTTCGTACCCGCTTGGGTTGATGCTGCCAAGCAGAGGAGCAGCAACTTAAACGTGTCTGATTGGTGGTACATGTTTTCAATGCTGCAGACGGCAAGTACCGTTCCGCCATGCATCAACTGTTATCTAGCACGAGTGACGCTATCAAAGTAAATCACAGGAAAAGGCGTTGCTCGGCATCTAAGCTGGTAGATGTCCCGAAGGTCCGGGCCGTCTGAGCTCGCAATTCTTGAATCCCTGAATGTCTGGTGGGCGTAGAGTGCAAGTCGTGTGCATCAGGATTGCATCAGGCATCAATCGCAAGCACTGCAGTCTTGCAGTCGTCGAAATCTCCGCCGTCTTTGGCCACATTTGTCTATGTGTACTTTTCTACGAGTGGGAGGGGGCTTTGTCTCTGGCCGTCGCGAAGTGACATGGAGCGGCGTCAACAAGAGTGCTGCCCTAGCCTTCTAACCGCGTCCCAAGTCCAAATAACAGGCTGGTCCTGCGAGGTTTCAGTCAGTCTTCCGAGGTCTTCGTGCCGGGAATGTTACTGGTCCAATGGCATGTATGTGTCAAGCATCACAACGTTTGGCATGGGGGATCCGGAAATCATGATTTCGCATTCAACTGATGATCGGCCGCCACGCATGTTCTAGCTTAATGTCCTCTTTCATGGCGCCAAATCTTTTGCCAAGCATGCAATCAATGTGTTCCTTCCGGCAGTCTGCCTTCGTTATGAAGTGCATTTGGTAGGCCCATCGTCCTCCCCCCGCAATCCCATCTGCCACCTGCACTCCCACCACAGCCTCGCATAGCTGCCTCCACACATATTTTGGGGTGCGACCCATGTTCCCTCTACACTTCGGTGCGCGTTCTGGGGTGTAATGCGATCGTGCTCCTGCCACGCATTTTGGAATGGTTGATTTTTTGCCAACACTCGCTCTTCCGCCTCGCGAACGTCAGAGCTGTTACTGAGCTAAGCTGAGCAATGCATGCAGACTGCCACTGCAGAAAACTCATGGAAGAAGGGTGCTAAGTTAGGGACCCAGTGGGCATTCGCTTGCCTGGAACCATTCAAGACGTATCTGGACTGGTCCGTGAGAAATAGAGCCCCTAAACGTTCGAGCCGATGCGTCCGTTTCCGCCCAACGAACCCAACGACATCCCCGCTTAAGAATTCTCGGTGAATCTTAAGCATCTTAAGCTTGGAGACCGTAACAAGGTCGGCGGATGCCCCCCATGATAACAAGTACCAGCGTTCACGAAAACATGACCCATCAACGAAGGCCAGTGGACATGACACACGATGCAGAGGATTGTGCCGATTGAAACCTTGGGCTGTTTGCAGCTGTGTTCTCAAACTTCGTACCTGCCATGATTCAAAGATTATGCCGAGTACCACGAATCGTCCGGCATGGAGTGGATGCTCTGCTTGGTAGGTCGTGTGTCTTCGTACTGTTTACAAGATCTGAACAAATGTGCATGGTCCTCGACGTGGCGACATGTGGAGCTCTGTTGATTTTGTGATCCCTGCTGCACACAACCTTTTGCCCGTGAAAACAGACCCAGCTAACAATGCTTTAATGGCCGCCCTACTCCTTTCAACCAGCTTGGGTAGTCTGTCAAGAAAGCTACGAAGGGTCATCATATCGTTACGATCGGCAAAGGTTGTGTCCAACAGAAATCGCGTGAGAAATATATCAATATGTCGAGTCTTTTCTGTTTTAGAAAAGTCTTGACGATGAGGTGCTTGACGTAGTAGCCAAGCCCTGATGGATCTGGCAAGTTCCACACCAAAAGCCCTGTTACTCGTTACCAAGAATAAGTCCGTGTCAGAGTCCCGGTGAACCAAGAAGACATCATCTTCAGAAAGTCGCCACCATAATTTATGAAAGATGTACCCCAAAATGTTGACACGGCTACTTGCTGTTGAATCGAAGCGACGTGCCCGACCATCCCTCATTCGACGACGAACTTCTTCAAGTTCACCTTGGACAGATTGCTTATCCCTCCAAAATTCAGAGCGTAGCCATTTGAGGTTGTGCATAACCCATTTTGCCCATGGGTCCAAGAAAATGTCGAATGATGTAGCCATGAAATGGAAAGGGCACCGCATGACATTACGTCGCTTATGGAAGCGCGCGCTACGGCAGTCCTGAGCCGTCGAAACTGATGCTTTGACGGAGGTTGTATTTCAGTGCCAGAAACCCATTGGGAATGCACATTGGAGTGAATGTGGAGGGCTCGACCTCTTTCACTCAACGGGAGGGCTGCAACTCTAGGTGCATTTTGAATGGCCTTATCTACCCTTTGGTCCTGTAACTGAGCATTCTTACGCTTGCCGACTGTGTGAGAGCACCAAGCGACTTCACCGTTTTCTTAGATTTAAAGGGGCGGCCTACATCTCTTAAAGACCTTTGGGCTCGTTTCTGGTATTCTTTCGTCAAGACCACTGATTTGTCATCATTAATCTTTTGACCAATGCAATCGTCAAACGCACTCAGCTCGGAGAAAGCTGTGTTGAGTTGGTCCGGATTTTGGTTGATTGTCCACATCTTACTGTCATCGACAAAGGAAGCGAAATGAACATCCGGGGTAAGGTAAGACACATGCGGGGCAAGGACCGCACACATGGAGTTCACCATCAGGATTGACAAACTGCACCCCTGGACCGCAGCACTAGTGGACATGACACGCCGTCAAAAAGAGGGGCCTAGCTTGAAGATTTTGACTTGGTTATCATAGAAACCACATGCAGCTTTAAAGATTGGCTCAGGAAGCCCAGGCAAGCTTGCAATCTCTAAAGCTGCAGTGGGAATGATGAGATCGAAGCAGTTGTAGCGGTGAATCAATACAGCGAAGAAATCCTCCTCAGAATGATGCATGTCATTGAGAATCGGCCGCTTTCCTATGCTGAAGACCACCGTACAAACATGGGGGGCAATCTTAAGATGCCAAGGGGTTAGCTGCTTAAACCGAAGCGAAGGCCAGGTTGAATAAACCACGGAAGAAACCCCAATGGCTCTCATAAGGGAGGGATCGAAATTTCATGAAATTTCTTTGGCCCTTGCTTATCGTAGAAACCGAAGCTAACCGAATCACCCGTGGCTACACACCCGTGGTTTCAGCTAATTTCATTAACCAACATGAAGGGGTACCACCCGCATGGAGGTAGGCACCCTCAACTCTGTGGTTAGCCATCCATCAAGTCCTGAAGCCTTGCATGAAGGTCCTTTTTGAATCAATCGAAACAGGTCATGTTGGTCAAAATTTGGAAACCCGAACGGATGTTTCAAGGCTTGAATGGCAGCTGCGTATTTATCCTTGAAGAAGGAAACGGTTGTAGCTACATCTTTAAACTTGTGTGTTGTGTTGTAAATATTTTGGAGTGGTTGATGATCTTGGGAGCCTCATGTGTGCTCCTGGACTTGTTCTTGGGTCTGCATGTGTCTCGGATTGCTTTCACTGCTTGGGGCCTGTGCCGGCATATCCTGGCTGTTGAAATCGTTGAGTGATGCGAAACGCTGAGATTGAAACAGTTATCATGACACGTACATCAATATCATCAACCCAGGTATATTGATTTTCAAGCAGGCGGTTGTCGAGATGGAAAATGCTGGCGGTGACCTGTAATACGATAAGGGACGCCCTAAAGACGATACCCTCAATACAGTATTGTTGCCATGGTAACCCCTCCTGATTTCTTTCAAGAGAGGGTGTCGGGAGTTTAGGATCTAGTACGGGTGTCGAGGTTGTCCGGATGTAAATTTTGGAAATACTTGGCAGAACCATACGAGATGGGCCCGTGGCCGCTCATGTGCTGCGCCAGTACTATCCCTTAGGCCAGAACCCGAAAGCCACAAAGCTGAAGACTCCAAACAGGCCAGAGTCCAAGCATCTTTAAACTCGCGAAATCCTAAAAGCTTAAACCACAGGCCTAAGCCAACTTTCCGCATCACAAAAAGCTTCGCATGCTCTAAGAAACCACGCGGTTCTCTTTTCGTATGTGCTGTCCTGGTAAGGAAGTGCTATATGTCCTTGTCCCCGCGTGGGGGTGCTGCCCTGCGTGTCCTCTTCTCTACTTCGTTTCCCCCACCTATCGAACCTGGTTTGTGCCACGAACGGGACAACCCGCTTCCGCGGTTCTGTTCTTCGGCATCCGTGTGCTCCACATAAGGAAACCCCGCCCGCCCTCCCCCCCTGTGGTCCAGGCCCTTGTATTTGAGACCCATGCCATTGGTGGCGGGAGGGGGGGGGGGTGGCAGAACGCATAGCGCACAACCATATATATATATATATATATATATATATGTATATAGCCTTGCATGCGTCGATTGTTAGCTTGGCGTTTCCGTGCCCCCTCTGGCAGCGGTGAGCACCATTTCCCTCTCCTTCGTGTCATTCCCTGTCGGCTGACACAGAAGAGCTCGCAGTCATTGTACTGTAGCATCGTGTCGGCTGATCGAAGCTGTCCTCGCTGCTGCAATGCCCCTAAGGTGGAACTAGGCGACAAAAAGCTGGCGTTCAAGGCCTTAAGCCCGGAGGCGCTCCTTTGCTCATGCCACGCGTCCACGATGTGACATTCATGAGCGGAAACACTCGCAGGATCTTCATCGTTGGCAGACGGCTTGGGAGACTGATCCTGAAGAGCCACTTGCGGCTGCCTCACTCCCTCGGCCATTTCACGCTTCCCAAGCCTTTGCATCTTCGGCTCTACCTTTGTCAGAAGCCATCACAAGCAACGATGCCGAAAACCGGGACCTGACCTTAGCCTGTGTAGCATGAACAGACGGTCTGTGTCGCTGTTCAACTGTCAGGACAGGTTCAAAGACACGAGTGGTAACATCGGGCAGGTGGGAAGCCAAGCTTCCACTGTGCTCGCGGCATTTCCTCACAGCCCAAGTTGCCCGGTTGAACGCATATGCACAGCCCTAGAAGTCGCAAATCAGCATGATTGCGCCGAGCCTAAGGGCCTAAGCTCAAGTTAGGTGATTCTTCGTCCATTCATGGAGGCTCAAAGGCAGTCTTGGGCGCAGGTGAAAGCTCGACTTAGACAGACGATTCTGCAGCCTACACGGTCACAGCTTTTCATTTTGATGCGCAGTCGCTAGAAAGGTTCACTGCATTCCACACTGTGCGATGCCATCTGACAGAAACACAATGAGTTCCTCTAAAAGCAGCCCGAAAGTCAGGATGATCATCTACCCTGCCGACCTCTTTAGCCGCTTTAGCCATTCTGCCGGGCCATGAGTTTGAAGCGCCTCTGTAGCTGCCTGCGCTCACCGACGCCGAGGGAACCCGGCGAGGTGTGACGCTGTACTCGAGCTGCTAAGATCTCACATTGCCTTGTGATGCTGTCACGGAGCGTCAGTACTGCCCCGAACAATAACTCTGTAGTCTTCTTTGACAAGGTTTTCGTCTTCAGATTCGGCTTGTGGCTTGCCTTCCGAATGAGGGCTTGACACAGGAGATGGAGGTGGTGGTGGCTGTGGCTGTAGTCGTGGTCGTGGTCGCGGTCGGTCGCTGTCGTGGTGGTTGCTGTTGGTGGTGGCGTTAAGCACCAGGCCAGCCAGCAAAACTTCTAGAATCTGACGAGCCATGCAAAGAATCCAAATTCAATTCGCTTGATGCCGGCCGAGAAATTTCTTCCCCAAGTAGGAGACCCAAACAAAAAGGCCGCACCCTGGATAAGGGATGAAATTTTCACTTCACCTTTCCGCCGTATCTTTACTTAGCCTCAGCGCAACGGGTGTGACACCAAGATTCGGGATTGTACTTGGTGTGTTTGTGTGTCGACAGGCTTTGAGTGGCACCGGCAAGACAGCCTTCGCATCGCCGGCTCCGAAGGCGCACGGGCCACCGTTGTTCTGTGATCCTGCTGGAAGGCTTTTATTCTTCTCCAGCTTGTGAGGGGATCTGCTCCAGGACATGTGATTCCTCAACAAGTCAGAGATGGTAAGGAAAGGAAAGAGGGGTCTTCTGCAAAAACTTTCGCGGCTTGCTGCCCAATTCCGAGACATAGAGCCGAAAATCGAAGCAGACAAGGCTACCCCAGAAAATGCACACCCCCACATGATTGGCTCAGGAGACGATTCCTCTAGCTAACATTGGGAAGCAGGTTTGCTTGAGTCTCGGACCCTGCTCCTGGTTTGGAAGCTGCTTTCGAGTCTTTCGGAGAACTCTGAGATTCTTCCTTGTGCGAGCGGGGGCACTTTCGGCCGCCAGCTTGATGCTGTTGCCTGTGGCTTCTGTCAAACTGCATCTCAGCATCCAGAGAATCTTGGAGATGGAAAGACTTGAAAGGGTCCAAATGAGCACACGAGGGCCGCAAGGGTTAGAGGATCTGCCGCTAGGCGGTGCTGAAGGGCGAGGGCGAGGCGGCCCAGGCGGCCAGCGAAGCTGAAGGCCGAGGGGCAGAGGGGGTAGAAGTGCCCTCTTTTTTCGATCTCTGCTCGAGGAGAAAGGAGAAGCCAAGAGAGCTCGCCTTTGAATTCGATTGTACCTCGGCAGGTTCCTGATTTGAGCATCGTGCGCTCCTCACTTTTGACTGTTTCCCGCAGCCCCAGGCAGACATGTGCAGCGGCTCTGGCATCCACAATGTGCAGATCGAAAGGGCGCGGGGAAGCTCAGTCATTGCAAAATATTGCATGCCACAAGCATAGACGATGTGAGTGGAGACAGGTTTTCGTCATGTACAGACTGGTGCATTGTTGCACGTGAAGGGCGAACAATCCCAGTAAGGCTAAAGTATCTGGCCTGCTGGCTGGATGAGTCATGTGTTTCGCAGCACTATGACGCCTCTCGGCTTCAGCTTTCGATTGCGGCTTCTAGCTTGGTCCCTTTGACATCGAACCTCAGGTGGCATACTACTACCGGCTTCCCATGGCGTTCATCGAAGCAGGACGCGAAGCTGAGGCAGCACCGGGTTGCCTCTTTCCTTTGCCATATGTTTTTCTTGACCGCCAGGAATCAAGGGTCCTTCTAATAATGCGAAAGGGCAGCGGGCTTTGCGAGCTTTTACCGGTGATGTCGAAGATGCTCCTGGTCGAAGCTGCTCTTGAATGGGTTGCGAGTGGGGCTAGCTTCAGTTCGGGCTGGTTTCTATCTTGATTGTATGCTTTTGCACCTAAGATTGAGACGGCTGCGCCACGGCAAGCCTGACAAGAGTTCGGAGCGTCTTGCTTGTATCAGACAATGAAACAGGCCAAATATCCGGCAAGCTCATGTCAGGCGGTAGCATTGCTTGACAGCCTGCTGCTCTTGCAAGAACGACCCTCGTAGTGAATCCCCTCGGCATGCAGCTCATCTGGGGCTTTCTGGGAAGCAAGAGAAGCTACATGAAATGCGTGCTGCTGTCAGGCACAGAAAGCGTTGGACATTGCTTCTCAGTTCGTGCTGGCAAACAAAACAAGTTGCCTGGATAGCATTTGAATGACCGTGCGGATTTGCAACCACTGGGAAATCTGTATTGGCATTGCCCAGCCATGCAGGTTCTCAAAGGCTTTCTTCAGCCTACCCGCAGCGACTTGGCAACAGTGCAGTCCCTTTGTGCTTGTGGATATCTTCGCACCGGAAGCTTCTTGACATCAGCACGGAGGTATCCCTTAGTCTGGATTTGCGAAGCTGCTGGCCGGTTGGGGCGCAACGAGCTTGCACGGCTACTTGGCAGAGACTGTAATCAGCACCGTCTCGACTGGACCCATCTAGCAGATGAAGCTAGCTAGAAAGGGATGCAATAGGATGTAGATGTTGCCGGCACGATCTGGCATCAGGTCAGGCATGCCTGGTCGCTGGTTCCATGCACGTGAAATACTAAGGAGATGTGTCGAAGATATCTTCAGATACAGGCGATCGCGGGTCGCAAGTGACGCTGGGGACATGCAGTGGAAGCCCACAAACATGCAGGCACCCCCTGACCAACAGTGGCTTAGTGTCCGAGTACACCTGGAATGGAGCCTACGAGGCCTCCGGCTGCAGCCTTGATTGTGTGTGCATGTGCCTGGGTGCGCGCGTGTGGCGGTGTGAGCCCGGGCGTGAGTTTGAAAACGGCATGAGTGGGTGCGTGGGCGCACATGAGTGTAAGTGCCAGAGCATATGTTGCCGTGCTGATTCGCATGTCGCTTTCGCGTCGAGGCAGACTTCTTCGCCACTGCCGTGGTTGCAAAGGCTGTGGGATATGAGGAGATGAGACTTGATGAGACTTCCAAGACAGCTTCTGCGCTTGTCTGTCGCCGCAAGTCCCTTTCCAAGTGTGAGCCTCCTTGTGAGGCGGCCGTTCTCAGTGGTCACCCTTTCCAAGTGTGAGCCTCCTTGTGAGGCGGCCGTTCTCAGTGGTCATGAAGCTGTCGCAAAGGCGGCAGCAGACTCGCTGCTGCGTGCTGTCGACGCCAACAGGATGACACGTAAGAATACGAATTCTGGCAGTATCCTCAAGACTCAACATCTGTTGCAGGGAATCAACCGGGGGCTGATGGTCACGCATGATAAGAAATATTCTGCAGGAGACATATGGCAGCAGGGCGCTTCTTTCTGCGCTGGACGTGGGCAGATGGATTTCTGGAACGAGCCGACGCGCCATGCCTTTATGGACAGAATAGATGCCATGGCGGACGAGTAAAGAGCAACAAGGCCACAAACTAGCAACGTACTGGTATCATCAAAGTAGTGATCTGGAACTCCTAACGTGACGAGTGAAAGTCACCGTGAAAGTTTACAGTGCAGTGCGGGCCGCATGAGGACTTAGCACCTTCCAATCTCGACATGCAGTTCAGCCTAAGCCTAAGTGACGATTTGTTCACGCCTTTCTCTGTTGGGGAGGGGCACCGGGCAATCTGGCTGCGGGAACGTTGCCCGCGATGGATAGTGTGGGACACTGGCTTTCAAACGACACGAGGTGCAGGAAGAAGGGCACATGAGCTGCTTCTCCTGAAGCTAGCCGAATCGGAATAAGTGGATTCATAGAGCGTCAGCGAAATTCACAACCCCAAAGAGCCCCAAATTGCAGTTGAACAGCGGTAGCTCTGTCGGTTTGAGTTAGGGCTGAGGTTTGAGGGTAGGTCTCCAGGTCTGTGCAGATGCCAAGACGTGGTCTGCAATTCGCAGCATTTCCCATGGAGGATTTGCAAAGGTCTGGGCAAAGGCAATCAATGAGTTCTGCAGCATCTTTTAAACAAAAGAGCTCCAACTGAGCGCTTTGTCCACTTTCCGCTTGTGGTTTTAGCTGAAGGCTCTGCCCGAGTTTGGCTCAAATCTCAGAATCCGAAGCAGACGGTCTAGAGCTTCTTCACTGGGCATCGGTTCGGCGTGGCTTCTCATGTCAGCTGTTTCTGATTCTGGTGTTTTCATTGCAATTGACCCTTTTCCGAGTTGGTTTAGTGAAGTACATCATGGCATCGTTGGCTCTGCTTTTTCGTAGCAACTACGGCATGCCGTTGCTGACCTGTGTGTGTGTGTGTCTATGTTTGTTGTCCTATCCTGTGCCGCTTGCACCAAGGACCCGCTGTACTGCGTGAGCGCACTGGGGGAGAAACAGTGCCTGGGCTGGAGAGAGACTTCGACCACAGTCTCGATTCAATTCTGCTTCAATCTCGTTGCGGTTGAATTTGCCAAGGCTGTACTTCTTGCTCGGCTTACCGTCAGTCGTGCTGTTGGAGGTGGCAACCTCATTCAGGCAAGGTCTGTCTCAGAGTGATTGCGATGAGTTCACGTGATCTGCACCCGGAAAGATCTTTTCCATGTGTTGCGACAGGAGCATCGCTGACTCGGCCAAGAAGCAATACCAGACGGTGGCTCACGAGCTGCGGCTTGACAGCTAGTAACAATCGCGTTTTTGATCAAATGGAAGTGCCAGTTTAACAAGTCGCGCTGCCAGCAGCAAGCGCCTTTTAAAGTAGTTGGGTGTGCTGGCGCAGGCAGCAATTTGTACTATTGGTCTTGACTTCCAATCGCCCTGTAGCATCATGCCAAGAGTATGCCAAGCATGTTGTAGCTACGCCGACACCTGCGACATGAATGTCGGCTGACAAGGGAATGAGGCAGCACTAGACGGCCCTAGCCATCAACTTCACAACATTTTCGAGTAGCATTCGCTCCACCACCATCAGGCTCTCTTGACTGCCTTTGACAGCTAAGGATCAGTAAGACCAAGACTGTAACGACTGTACAAGGGTGAAAGATGGCTGAACCCCGTCAAATGCAAGCAGGTAGTTCGGAATAGAAGTATGTGGTACTTTCTGCATTGCTTTGGCAGTGTGGTGCTGTTGCGAACCCCTGGAGGTTGCAGTACCTCAAAGGTTGCAAGCACTTGTTCTCAGCTTCCACATCCTACACCTGTGCGACAGCTGCAGCCATGCTTGGTGACCGCGACAGCACTGAGCGCATGAGGAGTGGATCAGGGGAGTCGAATTTTCACTTTCTAGTACGTGGGTGCCGTCGGAATTAAGTGCCCAATGGCAGGAGCAGAATGATCGCACTCCAACTGGGCGATGGCAGTTTTCCATGTGAGACCTCCGAACTTGACACCGTGCAGCACACAGCAGAAATCAGCCTCGGCCTTGGTCGCAGTATTGCAATTGCTGGTGTGTCCTGCGAGAAATCTCGAGAGGTACCTGCCTGTGCCGCATGGATGGCTACACACACGGCAGCGGGCTCGAAATCGAATTGATAACTGAGAGCCCCTCCACTTCGAGCTCGCTCAGACCTGGAGGCTCTGCAAATCTGTCCCAAGCCTCCGCCAGCCGCCAGCCCCCCTCCTGTCTCGCACAGGGCCAGCGCCGGCACCGGCGGCCCAGCCTTCCGAAGGCCAGGGACACAGCACACGGGATCCCCTGTCCCCGAGCAGAGCTCAGGAGCCAGAGAAGTCGACTGCGGTGCCTTGGATCGAAGTTTGCTGGTATTCAGGTCGTGGAAGCTTTGCTCCGAGGCAGAGAGGCATGCTGCGAGTTCCAAGTTCTCACGCTCTCGGCACCGACCTGGTGCCCTGGGACGCATCTAGACGTACGCACTCGCCGGCGGCTAGGCCTGGCAGCATTTGGCAGCTTTTTCTGCCCAGGTGTGCACGGTGTGGTGGCTTCTTGTGGGGGCTCAGAGACCAGGGCTCCAGCTGCAGCCGTTGTGGTCAAATCGACGCTCGGCGACATGGCTTTACACGTGCCACGATTACACCATGTGTTCCGAGTGCTCGAATCTGGATCTTTCAAGGTTTGTGGCAGCTGCATCGCTTCCTCAGGCAGTTGCAAAGGAGCCTATGCAAGACTGAGCGATCCGGATTAAAACTTGTTGCGGCAGGAGCTGTGCGCTTGTGAGCAAGCTGCAGCGTCCACTCCGCGCAGCTTGCAGCTGTTTCACTCCCCAAGCTGTGCGAAATGCTGCGAAGCGGTTTTGCTGTGATGAACAGACTCCACTGCAGCAGCTTTCAAATTTCATTGCTCGACCAAGCACTTCGCGAAGTTATCACACCTCTATTTCCGTAAAGCTCTGTGCCACACGTGTGGCACAGTTGCCTTAAATGAATCTTAGTCTTAGTTCGCTCCGTCCAGGAACTAGTACAGTGTGTTCCTGCATTGGATTGATGAATAACAAGGGCGGTGCAAGCTGCATGTTTCGGGATTCGGTAGCAGGCTAGCCCAGCCCAAAGCACCATCCGCTTCGGTCAAGCTTCAGGTTCAGCCTACGAACAGAGGGCTCAGATGAGGCGATGCATGTCCAGGGTTGAACGACTCGCTTTATGATCGCGGCAGTTCAGGAAGCATCGTCTGGCATGCTGGTGTTGCGCGAGGCGTGACCGGTAATGTGGCATTGATGCTTGAAGCCCGTTAGCATGCAGCTGAAGGATCGCTTGGAATTTTACAGAGGCAGAGACATCGTGTCGGTCGGGAGCCTTAGGATTACAACTAGGCCCTGATGGCAACACGTGGCTGCAACTGTTGCGATCTATCCATTCAAGGACGACGACGAGCCAGATGTGAGCGCCTTGATAGACGACATCGAAGACTTGGAGGTCCCTTATAAGACGCTTTGCTGGCTCTGCCTCCAATATGCCAAGCATAGACAGCTGTGTTGAACGGTTAAACTTTTAAACCAATGTTAAACCTCCAGCTGGCACCGCCAGACTGGACATGCAGGGTGTCAAAGGTCAAAGGCGATGCCATGTATAGGTTGCAACCACCAAGGCACCGGTTCAATTGACCAGTCTGCTTGCTCACATGTACAACGTCAGGAGCAGCTTGCGACAATTTGTTTCGTGTCTTGCAGGACGTCCTTTGGCCTAAGCGAAAGCAACCGAGCTACGAGTAAGTCAGTTAGTCAATACGGAGCCCTTTACAGGTTTCTGTGTGCCGACATGGACCAGACCGAGACGGCTGTACAAAAGAGAGAGGCCCACCTTTCCAGTTGTTGCCAACGTCTCATCGATGTTGGTAGCGGAGCTTGACCGAGGAGGCCTTGGTTGGTCGGGACGCCCACCAACCGGCGAAAGTTGGTTTGCGCCCTTCGGGATCTGCTGAAGGCTTGAGCGCAAGGTGCCCCTATTCGGCGTCCTTGATCATCCTGAAGATCGGGCTGGGGCCACCTTTCGGTGCAGTTTTTACTTCCTGGGGAGGTTCCCCCGTGACGAATTCACAACAGAAAGACTCTCGATTCTTTTGCAGATGGGACGCAGACAGCAACACGTGGCCTGACTTCGTACGGAAGGCTCGCCTAGCCTTCGAGCGCACCCCCAGGAAGCGGCAGCACTTGATTGCCCCGGACATCCTAGCCCAGCTAACAGGCAGGGCATAGATTGTGACCCGAGATCGATCATGCTCAATTCGTCCGGCGAAACGGTGTGATCTACCTGCTGGAATTCCTGGAGGCCCGGAGTGGCGCATGATGTTGGGACAAGGTCGGAGAACCTCATCCTCCGTCTCCGAAGACCGGCCGGACAGAGTTTCTCAACATGGGCCTTTCGGTTGCGAAAGGCGTGCAGGCAGCTGCAACAAGCTTTGGGACGAGTGCGCAAGGGGAAGCAAGCTAGCGCTCCTGGATCCTCCGACGTGGTGCAAACAGAGTCGCCTCGCCGATCCCCAGGACCGAGGGCAACCCGAGATGTTCAGACGTGGATGTCTTCCGGAAAGGCGGCCAGGAAAGATAGTGACAGCGATATGTCGTTGCATGCGCTGGGTGCCCTCGAAGCATCCAAGAGATCATGGAGGACGAGCTCCTTTCTCTCATCACCGCGGACACGGCGGAGGACCTCGAAGACGGACCTTCTGGATGGGATGGAGGAGCAGGACCACTGGTCCATGATTCTCCTGGATGAAGAACAGATAACGGAAGATCGAGGTCCACTACCACGGTGAAGCCTGCCCCCTGGACGAGGACTACATCCCGGAAGAGCATCGGGCTTCGGAGTTTGACGACGGCATCAAGTGGTGGGGAAGCGAAGACTGGGGTGAAGATGCTTACCACCAACTTTCCCCCAAGATCTCAAGGAAGTGGAGGAGGCGTACACGCTCGTGGACAACAAATTGAGGAACTTTGCTCAGGCGAGGCAAGCCGTGAAGGCGCAACGATTTTCAAGAGGCTTCTGTCCGTTCCAGCATGCGGCTGGCCCCGAGGCAGTGCTGATGATCAACGAGGCCCCGTGGATGTCCCTGGAGGCTTGGAGGAGACGGTTTTGTTGCAAGAAAAGCATGCTTCAGTTGACCTTGCCGGTTTTGCGGTGATTGACTTAGGTGCGACCGAAACTGTGTGTAGTTCACCAGCCTGACAATCCTCTGGCCGTCATGAACAGGTTCAAGTTACCGATGAGCCCCCGAAAAGATTCAAGTTCGGAAACGGAGCTCACGATTACTCGGCTTCACATGTGCTCCTTCCTCAGAGGCTGGGGGACTTATGCGTGAACCTGGGAGTTTTTACCTTGGATGTTCAAGGGGGCCCACTGTTGGTGGGGATCACAACGGTGCGGAGATTGCATGCAGTGCTGGACTTTCATCGCGACGTGATTGTCTTCGGAGCAGTTGACCCTTCAAAAGGGCTCCCTCTCAGGCGTTCCCGAGCGGGCCATGTGTTGCTGGATCTGAAAAAAGACTGGATGTCTCAAGCCTTTGACCTTTTGCAGCCTAGAGCTAAAACAGCCCTGTTGGCCCAACCTGAGAAAACCGGGACAGCGTTTGTGATTGTTGAGTGTCACGCCCCTGCGATAGAGCATGAAAAGGTAAGTGTTGTGGTTGATGGTGATCGTGATGCAAGTGCAGTGCCACCTGATCAGCATGCAGTTGAAGAGTGTCGTGTGAGTGATGCCGCTCTTCATTTCTTCGACAATTGCCCATGGGCCAAGCTAAACGTTTTTGAAGACTTTCCCTAGGAACCTTAGGCCTGTCAGCAATATCCGGCAGAGCACGACGGTGCCAAACAACATGCTCAAGAGTGCCAATCGAAGAATGGCAAAAATGACAGGCCTTAGCCTCATCATCATCCCCATGGCTTTTCATATGCCATAAACCGCAGGAAAGACATATATATATATATATGTATACATTGTATACATATATACAAATAAATATAAGTGCATATATGTATATATATATATATACCTAGACCTAGACGGACAGACGGACAGACAGACAGACAGACAGACAGACAGACAGACAGACAGACAGACAGACAGACACAGAGAGGCAGACAGAGACAGACGGAGACCGACAGACACAGACAGATGCAGACACACCCAGACACAAACAGACGCAGACACACGCTGACAGACGCAGTCGCAGAAAGACAGAGACAGGCACAGAAAGACTGAGACAGACACAGAAAGACAGAGACAGACACAGAAAGACAGAGAGAGACGGACAGAGAGACAGACACAGACCGGCAGACACAGACAGACACAGACAGAGACACAGACAGAGGTAAAGACACCGACACAGACAGAGATAAAGACAGAGACACAGACGCAGACAGAGATACGAACAGAGACACAGACACAGACACAGACACAGAGAGACAGAGAGACAGAGAGACAGAGAGTAACAAGTTCCCCTGTCTTTCTCGTAGTGTTAACTCTCCAAAGACAGGGGGAGCTCGGCAGAGTTGTTTTGTGTAGCATGCGGAGGGTACTGGAACTCGCATCGGTGTATTTTTCCGAGGACCGAGCAACCACGTCTTTCTCCTAGCCCCCAAAGGCCCTTACACAGGGGCGCGCCTTGCGGCGCGGGGAGCCTTACCAGCTCCTCGTACCCCGGAGAACAGAACAGAACAGTAACAAGTTCCCTGGACCCCGGAGAAGAAAAAGACAGAGAGACAGAGAAACCGACTAAGAGACAGACAAACAGCTAGACTATAGACAGAATGTCTGACCGACCGACGAACGGACGGACGGACGAGAGGTAGAAGGAGAGATAGAGAGATAGATAGATACAAAGATAGATGGATAGATAGAGAGAGAGAGATATATATAAATATAGATACATAAATACATAGATATACAGATATACAGATATATAGATATATAGATATGTAGATATATAGATATACAGATATATAGATATATAGATATATAGATATATAGATATATAGGTATATAGGTATACAGATATATAGATATATAGATATATAGATATATAGATATATAGATATATAGATATATAGATATATAGATATATAGGTATATAGATATACAGATATATAGATATATTGATATGTAGATATATAGATATATAAATATATAGATATATAGATATATAGATATATAGATATATAGGTATATAGATATATAGAGATATAGAGATATAGATATATAAAGATATAGAGATATAGAGATATAGATATATATAGATATATAGACATATAGA